TGTTAGGGGTGAACCGGGGGTCTTATCAAGTTGTTATTTTTGGAGATGGAACTGTGGAATAATGAAGGGGAAATGGGCTGGATGAAAATATGGGAATGTGAAGGAGTTCTTTTTGGGTTTTGATGTTATGAAGAAGAGTGGAAAATCAGGGATGAAGGATGGGTTTAGAAAGGATGGGATAAATTCCAAATAAGGAATAAGAGATAAACACACTCTTATCTTAATTTGGAGCCAAATTAATACTAAAGGATAAGCTCACCTCTAGACTAACTTGGGGTTAAACTCTAGTATTTAATCAAGATATTACACACTCAATCAAATAACTAGAACCTAAAACTCACACTTAAGATGACCACTCTTAAGATATAGAATTAGGAATTTGGCTAAAATAGCATCACACTATTTTATGAATACTCAAAGAGTAAAAGGTTTTCAATAATTCAGAGATGTTCCTTACAAGGGCCAAATGGCCGAAATATATAAGGAGGGGAGAGGAGGGAAAACACACAATATAATGAATGCAAATACAAGGAACCTTCCTACATCCCTTTATCATTCACTAGCTTCTAATCTTGAGTTGATAAGGGCTGATTTTGTTTGACTTTGTCTTGGCTTTGGAGCTGGCTTTGTCTGTCCTGTTGTGGAGGCAAAAATCACAAAGAATGAATGAAATCTTTTGATGATTTTGGTGGAGTCATCCAGGGGTACATCAACTGTAATGCCCCAAAAATAGGCCTATCAGAATTAATTAATTGATAATTAATTAATTACTGAGAAGGACCTAAAAATAAGTGAATTATAAAGTTTGTCAATAATTAATGAAAATTATATCGTTGTGTAGAGTTTGACTGTCTGACCCCAACGGTTCAATCGGATTTCAATTTGAAGAAAGCTAGACCAGAAAGTGTAATCCAATTGGGATCAGAAATTAGTCTCAATCAGGGACTACACTCCAATCGACGCTTACTGTTTAATCGGCGCACTAGCCGATTTTGGTGATTCAGGAATATTTCTTCAGTTGGCTTCTTCTCCTTCCTTCCTCTATTTAAGAAATCCCAACTCTCTCAATTCTCCACCAAATCATCCCAAATTTCTTTCTATTATGCTGCCTTGAGTGATGAGAGTTTGCTAATGCTTCCATTTCAGAGAGAAGTCGCCGGAGTTGAGAGCTTTTGTCGCCAGAAGTTTCACCGTCTTTTTGCCGGAATCATCGTTTAACATTAAGGTAAGCCCGTAGATATATCTAAAGACTATAATGTTCGTATAGATCGTTTCTATGTTCATAAATGGTCGTTTGGTTGAGTTTTATGTTTGACATGTTTGAAAAAGTAAGCATCATAAACCTCGAATTTTTTGTTAAAACTTCAAATTAATGGTATTTAAATGATCTAAGAACATTGGAGAACATTACTATATACTTTAATTAAAGTTTGGTGACTTAAAATGATGTTTCAAAAATTGGACCTGAGCTTGAAGATGAAGTACTATTGCTGTTATACAGCAACGGTCGACCGTACCGTCACTATGGTCAACCGTTATCGGACCAGTAGGTTCAATACAATGGAGGCAACGATGGTTGACCGTCTCCTGAAATGGTCGACCGTTCCGAAGGCAGTGAGCTACGAAAAATGCTATTTTTGGGCTCTAAAATCCTATTTTTGATACCACTTGATTATGAGCATTTTATAAATGATTTTTCATAATAAAAATGATGTTTTTAATAAATTAAATTGTTATGTGATGCATGACGGTAAGTTCCGGTATTAACACTCGAGACTAGACCGCTATTTGCTATCGAATGTTATGTTGATTGATCATTATGATGAATAAATGTTTTGAATGATTATGAATGATAAACTTGCTTATTAGAATGATTACTGATGACTTAATAATAATTAAAAATGGATATGTTGATAATCATAACGAAAATGTATTGATAAGGGTATCTAGAACAACTCTAAGATATAACCATAGTGAAGTTGATTTTGAAAGGTATCTAGAAAAACTTTAAGATATACCTATATAAGTTAGGCCTTGCGGGTATGATGCCCGGTGGCTAGGGTTAAAACGTACATACGGGATCCAAGAACCAAACTTGAGTACCTACTCGTTTGGGGGTACCACCCAACCCAACAGTGAACACTACGCTGTCGGTTTTTTGTTAACCTTAAGCGAATGTAAGTTTAAGATTTGAAAACTATTTTTAAAAATATATCTTAAACTAGGCCTAGCTTAAGGATTAGAATATCTTGAATTAGTTTAAGAATGGAATTGGCCTTAGACTAAAGATAGTTTAAGGATATTGTTGAATATTGAATACGAATGTTGAATGTTAAGATATTGAAATATTGAGAATATCATGAATAAATTATTTTTGTGTACATGATATCAAAATGGTTGTTTGTGAATTGAGATTCAATTTATGTGGATGTTCGATGTGTTAGATATGCTTACTCAGCTTCACCGCTGAGCGTGTAGTGTGTTTTATTTGCTACACGCAGGTAGGCAGAATGAGTGATTGGCATGTTCCTGGCAGCAGAAGGGCGAGGCGATCGTGGTGGAGTTAAGATTTAAATTGAATATATTATATTGTTATGAGACATGATTTAAATTGCTTCAGCATTTTATTTAAACACTCTGTATTTCTCTACAGTTATGTATGGAATATTATTTTATGATAAATAAAGATGTTGAAATGTTTTAAATGTTTACGATTTCCAAATTTATTTTAAAGGGCTGCAGACCTGGACGGATTAGGGTGTTACAACAACATAATGGTCACTTGTTCTTCCCTGACGAATATTTTGATTACAACTTAGTTTTGTTAGCCTTGGTTTGCTAAGCCTCATGTTTTGATGTTAACAAACAATATAAGAGCTAACGTTTGTTTAAGTGTTTCAGGTACAACAAGAATCCATTAAGATTCGTTTCTCAAGAATAAAATGGAGACACTAAACTAGCGTAGAATATAGGTAGAAACCGATGTAAGGATATGACTTTATATATCAGTACTCACAAGCTCAAAAGCACTCACAAAATATGTTTAAAATGTAACACCCCGGCCCCCACCCTAGCCGTAAGTGTCCGCTCATAGAAATGTAGACTGGCCCCACAAACCAACACAAGTCTTTCCCGCACACTTTGTCCTCACTCATGCGCGTCCAAGGAAAACTTCCCAGGGGGCCACCCATCCTAAAATTGTTCCAGGTCAAGCACGCTTAACTTTGGAGTTTTTTAGGTGATGTGCTCTCGAAAAAAAGATGCGCCTTGTTGGTATGAGTAGTACTATCAATCCTTTGGAGCTCTTCCCATTTCTATCTTGATACGGGGTATTACATTCACCCACACTTAGGAATGCAACGTCCTCGTTGCATCCTTTTTTTGAACCCATAGATCCTCCCTGCTAGGTGAACTAAGCTCTTTTGGCCCGTCATGGTCGCAGGGTTGCTCTCATACCATTTGTAACACCCCGGCCCCCACCCTAGCCGTAAGTGTCCGCTCATAGGATTGTAGACTGGCCCCACAAACCAACACAAGTCTTTCCCGCACACTTTGTCCTCACTCATGCGCGCCCAAGGAAAACTTCCCAAGGGTCACCCATCCTAAAATTGCTCCAGGTCAAGCACGCTTAACTTTGGAGTTTTTTAGGTGATGTGCTCTCGAAAAGAAGATGCACCTTGTTGGTATGAGAAGTACTATCAATCCTTTTGAGCTCTTCACATTTCCATCTTGATACGGGGTATTACATAAAATCTTCTTATAATCATTTTCAAACATCCAAAAGGTTTTAAACAAAATTGGAAAGGATTTGGAAAAAAATATAAAAAATCATCAAAATAGTCAAAAGGTACCCTATACCGTAAGGGGTACTGTGAGTGTATCTGAGAAGGTACCCCCTACCGTCAGCTCGGGACCCCCTACTGTAAGAGCTACTGTAAGTAAATTTGAGAAGGTACTCCCTACCGTAACCCACATGTAGGTACCGACCGTAAAAATGGAGATCAACTCCTTTTGCACTATGGCGGTACCCCCTATCGGTATCGTTGGAGAAAAAAAAATCAAATTCCGGATTTCAGATCTAATCACATTTAATTAGTTAAAATCCTTCCAAGTTTATCTCCAACGGCTAAATAACTTTTTCCACTATAAATACAATCTTAATCTTTCATATTTCAACAAGAAACAAAGCTCCAAACATCCTCTCTTTGCTTTCTAAGTGTGTTCATTCTATTATTCATTATTTTCAATATTTTGGCTATTTTAATAGCCTTAAATTTCTAATTTTTATACACACACTTTGAGCTTGTGTTTTAGATATATACTCTCATATTCATAAGTTTATATTGTATTTTTGAGAGAATATAATTTCGTTCTACATTGGCTAAGTTTTGTTCTTCATTTTTATATTCAAGCCATTGTGTAGAATCCTTGTTTGTGTTCTTCAAACACATCTTTATACGGTCGAGAATAGCCGTTAAATTTTCACGTTGTAACGGTCGAGCATAGCCGTATACATCCTTGGGTAGAAGGTTTATCCTTGGGGGGGAACGGTCGAAGATAGCTGTGAAATCTTTATTATAAACGGTTTGAGATAGCCTTTGTAAAATCTCGGAGTGAATCCTATTGGCAAAGATTGTTTGCCAAAACTAGTGCGGTGCTTTGACGGAGTTCAAGAGACCTGGACTTAGTGGATTTGGAAATCATTAAGGAGGAGCCTTAAGGTACTGCCAAAACTAGTGCGGTGTCTTTCACTTTACGCTTTTATTTTTTTGTTTTATTTATTGCTTCCGCATTTGCCAATATCGTTTTTATTAAACTCCGAAAAGATTTTAAACACCTTATTCACCCCCCTATAAGGCGTGGGCACACCTATTAACAAGTTTTTGATAAAGGATCATGCCATGATCAAGATGAGGTTGCACTTAATGATGAACCAAACACGGATGTGTAGAAGTTCCTTTTAAGAGGATCTAATCGTACTCTTAACTCTTCCAAGATATAATTGAGGTCGAGGGTGGGCTTCCCAAGAGTACTCAAGAGAAAGTTGAAATGAAGGTTGAACTTGAAAAAAACTACACAAGAGCAGGCTGAGGCAAAGGATGATCTTCACAAAAATACGCAAGATCATGTTGGTGTTGAGGATGGACACTACTCTCAATTGCGAGATGATTTTGATCCATTATATTTGTCGCAATAACATATGTGAATACCTCACTTACATAAACATTTTTTTCTGTTCCATTGTAAGCTTGTAGAAACATAATTTATTGTGATCTCATAATTATCAATGTTCATATCTGTTAAGGAATGTTGTAGGGTTTGTCGTTAATGGGCTCATTCTTGTTGGGTTCGTAATTAGGTCATAGTCTTGTAGCTATTATAAATAGCAGATCTATGTGTAATCAAACAATCGAAGTTCAGTTCTAATAATATTTCTACATGGTATCGGAGCCAACGTTCTTGGTGGCCTAAAAATTGTTTCGTTCGCTCCTGGCGGGCGGCGCCACCGCCATTAGCCGTCCGCCGGGCTGTTGTCCGTCAGA